ACTGTGTGTCCCTGCCTGTGTGCATGTCTATGGATATGTTTCAATCCATTAGTGTGGGTATATCATTAGGTTCAATCTGCATGTCTTTGTGTTTTTATTGTGTCTGATGCTGTGGCTTCGTAAGACACACATGTCACATACATCCTTCACAAACATACTTCACACGCATACTTCATGCACTCTCGGACTGACCGCGTGTCTCGCTCGCCTGCCTGTCTGCATGAGTGTAATCCCAGCGACTTCCTCCCTGCACTTAACACGCCACAGAATTCACTGAGCTGCTCCTTTTTCATGCATTGCGGACCTGACCATATGAGATGAAGCGATGTTCCCTCTCGACGGCCACTGGAGCCACTCGTGCCACTCACACCATCGTACTGCCACTGCAAGTACCCCTGCCGCCTTCCCCGTCCGATTCGCGGCTCTAAGGGCACCCGCTTGAGGGGGCCCTTTACTTTGAATTTGCGTCTTTATGAAACAACACGTCCGGTCAGACAAAACGTTCGATCACGATCGTATGGAAGAGAAAAGGAAAATCGGTAGCGGTGATCTGATCTGTTGCTTGCACTACTACAGACACGTCAATATGTCGAGAAGCTTCGTGTTTTTTTGTCACGTTTTTGGATAAGTGAACGTTAAACTGATGTGCCCTAAAGCGGCAAGTGATTGAAAAAGGCTTGGCCGTCAGGCCGTCTAGGGTGCTCCCTGAAAGCTGCTGCTGGAAAAAGCTCCGGAGAAAGTCAACGAACAAGGGTATCTCTGGGCGAGAACTTCTTAAAAAATGCATCAACTGACTGTTAACACACGAAACGCGCCAGTTTGTGGTGGACGGGATGTTTCTCCGTTGTCCGTTCATGCAGCTGGTTGAGCTTGGTCCTTCTTGGGTGCCTTTTCGCAGGTCCCTCAGTGCCGCATCGACTTTGTGGAGCTTCTGGCGGTTAAAGAAAGAGGTCTCGCGACTATCGTGTAGTGTACTCGGTAGTGGATATGCTTGCAAGACTCCTCTCTGCAAATGCGGTCACCATCGACTGTCTGCTGCTTCCCCGCTTGGCGCCGCAGCCTCTTCTTGCCACTCTTGAAGTCATCAAAGAGGCGCAGGAGCGAATCGATGGTCGAGCCTTCGGTGTTATCTGCAGCCACACCGGTAAGTGCCGCTAGACACAGCCAATGTCTGCATTGCAGTTCAGCAAAGTAGGCCTTCACGGCTGCTTTGATGACGTGTGTTTTGCCGGTGCCGCCCTCGCCGGTCAGGCACATGCGCAATGGCGCGATGTATTTATTGTCCCTCAGGTCTTTGTAGTGGTTCAGCAAGTGGCTGCAGATGATTTGGAACGCTGCTCTTCGTTCAATTGGTAACGGCTCGCCCAGTGAACAGAGAAGGTCCTGTCGTCGACCGTCTCAGGCGGCTTGAATGCGGACAGCGGCTGCGCCAGCAGTCGAATGAGGCTGGCAGCATTCATCGAGTGACCACCGTGTGTGAAGAGATTCGACTCGAAGAGAAGCTACTCACTCAGAAGGCTTTCTTCATCTGACGTGGCGCGGCTGTGGCCGGTTTCACTTAGCTTGTTGCGTTGCTGGTGCAGGTCATCGTTGGGCTGATCCTGGCGGCATGTCTCTTGATATAATCGCTGGATATCGATAGGTTCACACCAATGGCATCCAGCGATGCATTGATATACTTGGCGAAGCACGTCTTCAACA